TTTTCAGGTGGACATTTCTACTGCGAGATATTTTGGAATAACTCGACGGAATCTCGCGGCTCGATTCAAATTTTATTCATTCTTTAATTCGTTTATATAAACGGGTAAACGGGCATTTTTAAAATAACGGAACAAATTTATCATCTAATTGGTCGATTTTCGGCAATTCGATTAAATAAAAGAAACAACAGTATAAGGTATCTTCAAAATTATATTAAACTAATAAGTTAATATAAGGTATCTTCAAAATTATATTAAACCAATAAGTTAATATAAGGTATCTTCAAAATTATATTAAATCAATAAGTTAATATAAGGTATCTTCAAAATTATATTAAACTACTAAGTTAATATAAGTTATCTTCAAAATTATATTAAACTACTAAGTTAATATAAAGTATCTTAAAAATTATATTAAACTACTAAGTTAATATAAGGTATCTTCAAAATTATATTAAACTAATAAGTTAATATAAGGTATCTTCAAAATTATATTAAACCAATAAGTTAATATAAGGTATCTTCAAAATTATATTAAACCAATAAGTTAATATAAGGTATCTTCAAAATTATATTAAACCAATAAGTTAATATAAGGTATCTTCAAAATTATATTAAACCAATAAGTTAATATAAGGTATCTTCAAAATTATATTAAACCAATAAGTTAATATAAGGTATCTTCAAAATTATATTAAACCAATAAGTTAATATAAGGTATCTTCAAAATTATATTAAACCAATAAGTTAATATAAGGTATCTTCAAAATTATATTAAACTACTAAGTTAATATAAGTTATCTTCAAAATTATATTAAACTACTAAGTTAATATAAGGTATCTTCAAAATTATATTAAACTAATAAGTTAATATAAGGTATCTTCAAAATTATATTAAACCAATAAGTTAATATAAGGTATCTTCAAAATTATATTAAACCAATAAGTTAATATAAGGTATCTTCAAAATTATATTAAACCAATAAGTTAATATAAGGTATCTTCAAAATTATATTAAACCAATAAGTTAATATAAGGTATCTTCAAAATTATATTAAAGCAATAAGTTAATATAAGGTATCTTCAAAATTATATTAAACCAATAAGTTAATATAAGGTATCTTCAAAATTATATTAAAGCAATAAGTTAATATAAGGTATCTTCAAAATTATATTAAAGCAATAAGTTAATATAAGGTATCTTCAAAATTATATTAAACTACTAAATTAATATAAAGTATCTTAAAAATTATATTAAACTACTAAGTTAATATAAAGTATCTTCAAAATTATGTTTGGAAAAAATTGACGAATAAAGTTAAGAATCGTCATAAACATACCATCGATTATATAATTGTGAAAACGTTAATGAATGAAATAAAAGTAAAATAAAAAAATGCGCTCGCGCGGGCATAAGTGGGCCAGTAATCGCGTGAAACGTGTTGTTGCGACGTCGACACGTTTCGAGCAAGGCCGCGCAAAGGATGCCGGTCCACTGTAAACGATTTTCTCGCAGAATGGCCGCGGTAAACAGAAAATAACGGAGCACCGAGACTAGTCGGCTAGCCGGCGTTAACTCATCGAGTTTAGGAGTTTGTTATTTCGGTTTTCCCGTTAACTCCTGCTAACCGACGACAAGAGACATTCGCCAGACCACCCTGGGGCCACCCTACACTGGCCGATCGAACTTCCTTTGGCTCCGCGGTGAAACGTAAGCAAAACACGCGATATTACCGCGTGACGCAAGATTTTCCTGTTGACTCGTGAAATCCCCGGATCCGATAAATAAATCTGAATTTATTGGAGATTTCGGTGGATGCTTTTTCTGCTTATGCCTGGGATCTATCGATCTATCGATGGAATCTGCGTTATTATAAATCGTTGTACCGGTGAAAATTGAAGTCGAGTATAGATTAAACAATGACTTCGCTTTTCATTTCGTCATTACAATGCGTTCACCCTTTTATTGCGGATTTCATCATCGCGATAGAACTGTAAAAACACATTTGAAATTTCAATAAAACCGTTCGTTTTATCGTGTTTGTAAATCCATAAAATTCGCAATCTATTCACAAACCCTCGGCCAGCGTACGTGTAAATTTCCATTTTCGCTTTTTAAATCGTTGGAACGTATTATATTTGTTTCCATGTGTATACAACGTTCTCGTATACGTAATTCAGCAATAGCAATTTTATTCTACCGAAGTGTTACGAGAGATTTCCCGACCTAACGCAGTAAAAAACGAAAACGAAAATGAACAAGCTGGTTTCAAGAGAAGGAAGATGGCGGCAAAGAGGGCTTTTTCTACAAAAAGAGTAAAACGATTCAAGTGAAAGATGGCGGAAAAGGGGAAAGATTGATCCAAGAGATGGAAGATGCTGGAAAGTATAGAACAGAAAAGGGTCTGAAAGAAAGAAGATATAGGAAAATGGAGGGTGATCCGTGGAAAAACAGAGACAAACGTTCCCTTGTTTACCTGATTTACTGATTCTCCGCCATTCAACGTAAGTTACGCCTTGCTTTCGTTATTGTGAAAATGGATGTTTACCCGTATATATAAATGAATAAAATAAAAATTGTCATATTTGAAAAGCTATTAAAAGTATAACTATTGGACGAGTCGCGCAAAATTCAATTTCAAATGTATAACGTGCACTAAATTATATAAAGTGTAAATACTGTAGCTGAGAAAAAATATTTTGGATTTTGGATGATGTCGGACGCCCGTTTTGGGACGTTTTATTTCAAACGTCTTGACGATTATCTTATTTCAGACGTCCTAAAGACGTCTTCAAGACGTCCCGAAGTGGACGTTTCAAGGGATCAGTTTTATATTGCTTCCATAATCAGATGTCGTCGTAGGCATTGCAAATAATTTTCTCTAGATTCTTTGGAAACGGAGATCCTAATTAAAAACACAGAAAACGAATTCCTCGAAGTTTCTTGAATTTTACGTCGACATATTATGCAATATTAAACGTTCCTGTATTCGAATAAACATTGCACGGCACCATCGACTGCAAAGGGTTGAATGAAGAGAACGACGGAGGCGAGGGTACGATATTCGCGAAGAAGATCGAACAGGATAAAGATACGCAAAAATAAAAACCGATGGCACCTTCGTCGAGGCGCGCAGGATAAATCGGACGACACTCCGATGAAAAAGGGCTTAGCGCAGGTGGCTGGGCCCGTGCATTAATGCGCGCCGCGAGTCGCGGCGAGCCGCGATCGCATCGGGCACAGAGGTTTCGCGAAGAATCGCGAGGAATTCGTGTCGCCCGACCCGGCTGGACGATCAAAAGGTCTTTACGTACCACGGTGAACGGAACACGCCGTTGGGTTCTTTTGATCCTCTCCCCGGGTTCCTCCTCGCGAGCACTTACAATGGACCACACACGCACGGTCACCTCGCAGCGAGTGCGCTTCTTACGGGGTCAGCGGCTTGTGTCATCTATCTTAGAGAGGTTCATATTCACTCGGTGACACTAATGCCTGCTCCTCGGTCGCTGCGAGAGCTTTATCCGTTCGCCGAGGAACGCGAAGGAACGCGGAGGAACGGACGTCTCGCCAGTTTTTTCGGCCGCGCAGGAAGTTGGTCCGATGACAGGCAAACGGTCCCAACCGAGGACTCGGCGGGCCCAATCATTCCTTCCTCGGGTTTCCTGCTTTATCTCGATTGTAAATTGTCTCCTGACAAGCGGCAGATTGATGGCGCTGCGGTCTGATTGCTCTACGATCTCCGCTTCGCTCTTAGAAATGAAATCTTTGCTTAGGAATGGTCCCTGGGGAATTAGCTTTTAATTATGGGCCAGTGAGATAGGGGAATTTAATATTATTATGGCCGTTGCTTTTTATAGTCTCTGTATACGAAGGCAGCGCGAGATGACGGTCGATGCCCTCTCTCCGCATACATCAAGTGATACCGAGCACTTTGGTTGTGCAAGAAGTTTCCGTTCTCCGGATCTACGATGACGGAGCCAGTTACTGTGGGCTAGCCAATCACTGCGCCTTTGGTTATTTTCAAGCATAATGAACGTTTTTTATATTTACCGTATAAGACATGTCAAATCTTTTTATTTAAATTTAAGTCATTATTTATTTGTTAAAATTAAACGTGTAAAAGATGGAAGTTCTTAAAATACCACAGAAATTATTTCAATTTTTTGATACTGAATTCGCGAAATTTTCTGTAAAGCTTCTGAAAACGCTTAAGAAAATACTAAACGAATGAAGATTAATATCCAGTGAAATAAATCGTTCTAGATAAGATAGCACAATGTTAATTGCATTGGTAAAATGTATTTAGAGCACGGATAAACAAAAGGGTGATTATTTATTAGGATTTTTGTTTTTAATTTCAGTAGTTTATTTACTGAGCACAGAAACGAAACGTCTTGAACACTATGTTCTCTGTGTTCACGTTTCCTCTGTGTCTCCTTGTGTTCCGCTCATTGTCACCACAATATTTTCGTGATTGGTTAAGTATGATAACAGACAATGGTTGTCGAATTTTTATATTGGTACGTAGACGTGTTTGAAATCGTCTTCGTTGGAGGAATGCGAAACTGTCTGTGGAAATAGCGCATTATTGTCTCGTATTGGCAATGCCGTGATTTATTCACGAAGGATCTTCATTTAGGACTGTCGCACGTGACGTCTGCATGTTTGGGTTGCGATTGCCGGTGATCGTGAACGGTTTGTCGGGGCTTAGTCCAGGATGGGATTTCGGCAAACTGCCATGTAGGGAATTCGGTGAAGCGTCAAAGTCGCGTTGAATTTTTAACGCGACACTGCATATTTTCGACCTTACAGTTCCTCTAACTTTTCCTAGAAAATTAAGGCTAATAATCTAATTGATAGAACTAATTTTCTAAAAATCGGAGGATCCTGAAGACCAGTAATTTTTAGGGTATCGAGTAACGATAATTAGATGCAACCGTGGAGCTGCTAATACCGCATCGTTTCAAATCGTGATAATTGTGCGATTTTGATGTTACAGTGGCCGACGTGGTTCTTCCAACCAGAACTTCCTCTCGGCGCGCCACTGCCAACCACTCACGTGTCCAACGCCAGCAGTATACCTACGTCGTCGCATCTATCCTCCAGGACACACTCGGAGTTGCCTAAGGCGCCGGACTTAGTCGACGGTACCAAGATTCATGGACAAACTCCAACGATATGCACGGTAAGCTCTAACTCACGTACTACTTTCCAGGAATTTTTTCAAGATCGCTGGGCGATCAAAATAAGCGAACGTAGTTCAGAAAGAGTTGCCCCAAACGAATCTTGGACGAAACTTGGTGAAACGAATTGATAGTTTGGTTCGTCCAGTAAGAAATATCGAGTGTCAAGCGTATTTTGATAGACTTAGGCTCACGTCGCCGCAACGATTATTATTAAACCGCGTGTTTTATGCATTTGTGACAAGAGACAATGGCTAGAATACAGAACATGAAAATACATGGAAATACGTGGAGTACAGGAACGCAATGGATAAATTCAACAATGCAGTCGGATCGTTTTCGACTTATTGAAAACGTTAAGATCGAAAATAAATTTTTATTTCGTTGTTTGTTGCTCGTAGCATTCGCGGTAGAGAATTTTTGTTTCGCTATAAAGCGAAATAGGATATTTAACTTCCACAAGAGAATGCTACGTGTACTTAACATCGTACTTTCAAGTTAAATAGAGAAAATCGTAAAAATTACTTTAGGTGCAGGAAATTGCAATTTCGCTGGCGTTAAAACTGGCTAGATCGAGGAATAGGAGAAACTAAATAAATTCCGACCAGGATATTATAGAGCGGGACGTTCCATCAAGGAAACGTTTCAAGTAGGGCCCAATCTCGTTAGGTCTGGTAGTTGCACGCACAGTTATCCATAAAATCTCTGCGGGACCAATCTGGAGGGTATCTAAGAAAATCAAACCGCAAACACGGGCGCAGTTTATCCTCGATAAACGTGAAAGGCGCCGCGAGTGAGTCGGCCAGGCCAGCCTTCCCTGATGAGCCTCGAAAGGCGCGGCGGACCACGCGAGGCGGACACGCATGATCGTCGCAGGCCGGCTGGCAATCAACGGTGTAACCGGCGACGTATCGCAATTTCCCTCGGCGACATGTAATTTCGTCAAGGTGGCCTCGTCGGCAGGTGACAACGGAGAAACTTCGCGCGGAACGAGAGAGATTGGATTCTTCCGGGCGCGTCCGAGTGTTATAATTATACTGCACGCTCTTTACGCAATTATCCGCGAAATGGGCGACCGAAATTCAAGACAGCGCAATGTTTCGTGGAATATCAATTTACCATTTTCAATTTCGCCAGATTATTAAAAGGAGAAAGACAGTTTCTCGCGAACGGTGCCGAACGTTTCAACCCTTTGCGGTCGAGGGTTTTTAAAATACTAAGAACGTTTCCTTCGGAGATCTAGATTATGTACCGAAGATATATTAGGTCTACCGGAAAGTTCTGTCCGATAGTGTCACTTCAAGTTTCAATCCATATGCACATGTTGATTTGAGACATATATGACTATCTCTCTTTATCATTGCATTTACACACATGCGCTCTCCTAAATAAACCGAAACAAAGATGTCTCATGTCATTATTAAGTGAGACGCGATCGTGAAAACATGGCTACCGATGATAATGCCAGAC